TTCCGTCGGACAGCGCAAAATCCTGCAATGCGAGCTTCGTCGAGGCCACTGTACATCTTGTAAGCAGAGACAAGTTCAAGCAAGCAAAATGACTACTTACACACACCAAGACCGTTGAAGCGGAGGGACTCCTGAATGAAGCTGTCGAGCCTGCGCATGCGATCGAGTGACTCTTTGTCGTAGCCATACTGTTCGATGACCTGCTCGATCTCCTCACGGAGCGTGGCCGCCCAAGCGGGGTTCGCTGCGATCAGATACAACAAATGTGTAAAGCTCTGCGAAGTCGTATGTACGGCCGCAACATTCATGATGAGTATGATACGCGTGAGGTTCCGCACGCTGCGCGCCTCGCCTTGCGTCGATGCCATCAGGAGCGAGAGCAGGTCATCCTCCTTACCTACCCAGTCCTTACCCGCAGCCTCCATCTCCTTCAGGCGCTGCTCGAAGTGTGGTCTGATGAAGCGCATGCCGCGCTCGACGCTGGGGCCAACGAGGTCAAGCCTCCGAGCGATGAACCTGAGGGGAAATGCAAATCAGCCGAGATTTGCGAAAATGACGGCGCGCAAAGCCTCACGGTCGGATGCCCTCTGGCAGTGAATTATACAAGAGTGCGGCCTTGAAGACGTTGTTTGTGAACTCAATGTTCAACTCGTTGTATTCCGGGTTGCTACCTTCAAATAGTGATGAGCCTGGAAGAACAAGAGCTCGTGTTGCATCAACATACAGAGAGGTGCGCCGACGAAGGCACGATGGCTGACGCGAAAGAAAAGCTTGAACGACACATCGAGAGCGGTGGCTGGTGCCCAGGCTACATGTGTACATGTGAGCGAGTATCTTCATCAAGAAACTAGTCAGTAGCTTACTGTTGCCCTGAGGGATAATATCTTGGAACGCGGCAATCATCTCGTCGTAAAGCATAGAAGGCGAAGGGTTAACGTGACGCAGGAGCTGCTCTCGAACAAGTTCGATGTGTTTATTCATCTCGTTCAAATCGATGCCCAGGGTGTACAAGCCCTGCAGGAGCTGGCAGTGACAAGCTGTTGGGCATGGTGCCTTCTAAGACATATTCGCATCCGCACTTACCTGGTGCAGTGCGGCAGTCGTAGACATATATTTCTCGGGCGCCTTTCGTAGCTCCTCGTTCAGAGCAGGGTCTGACACGAAAACGAACCAGCAATTGAACTGTGCGACTTTGAAGCAACCACCTTTGTACTATTGGACGGTGGTTGAGGATTCGGCAGCAACAAGCACAAGGGCGAAATTCGGTGCACACCTTTGTGTATCCTTCTTCGAGGACCTTTTCTGCTTGGAGCAGAAAACGGATCGCCCCATACCAAGAGAGAACAGGAAGGGACGGCCCGACCGTTGGGATGCCTTCGAGCTGCGTGTGGTCAAATGAGTCTTGCATGCTAGGTTAGAGGAACGGCTGTCAGTCACTCACATATCGTTCAGCGTACATAAATTTGCGGGATGCCCAAGTCAAGGCGTAGACAGTCGCAAGGAGGAACAGGAGAGTGAATAGTTCCATAGTCGAAGATGGAAAAAGCAAAGAGCAGAATAATCAAGGGCGAGAAGAGGATGCAAAGGTTTGGTGTGCGCGACACACTTGAATGAGAACGATCCGCTCGAAGACCTGCTCATATGTACTTTGGCAGAGATTACCACCAAAATACAAAGCGGCTGTTGCCACTGCCCCGGCGCAAAATACCCACACCTGATATTGATAACGAAGCAGTGACTAGTCTGCTCGCGTTCAGCGTCGACTAGGCATCAGGAAAGTGCTCGAGCGGCTTAATGTCGCTCGTGCGTCTTGGGTTTGGACTGACATGCTCTGGGTGCTTTGATAATGTTGATCAACACTTCCAAGGCAAGTTCCGACTGCACAACGCAAGCTAAGGCACATCATCTAACCCAGGGCACTTTCAATACCCGGATGTTTTCCTAATGATTATCATGCAGCGAACTCACAGTATCCGGACACCGCGGAACCGCATGTGCGGGTAGTCCCGGTCTATTAGTAGA